AATATTCTTTAAGAAAGCAATGATGGTGTACTTTTAGTTTTTTATAAAGAACATGTTTTCTGTTTTTCTAGAATTCTAATAGGATTTTCATGATTAACCGAGTTTGTTGTCAAAGATGGTAAAAAACATTGCACTAGAAGTCATTTCAGAGTACAACAAGGATTCCAGCAGAAGAATAATCAATTGAATGATGTTATAGTTGAATTACTAGTTAAGAGATCCTCACTTTACAGATACCATGACTTCATAAAAATTTCTTGCATATACTATGATTCTAGTTCAGAGATATTTTGTAAATGTAAGGGGCTTCTTACTTTCCAGAAATGTAAGGAACACCCTTGTGGTAGTTAGCAGGTACATCTCCTTGCAATCCAGGGATTATTTCTGTCATTTCCTGGACAATATTGTGGTCTTCACTATAGCTTTCGTAGCACCGTCCCCACCTTGGATCTCTGCAGACCTACACAAACTCAAAGAGAAGCAAATTCAAATATGAAAAGGCTTGTAACTTTACTTTAATTTTATCATGGTACAGATAGCAAAATGTAAGACAAGATAAAATGTGTACATTGACTTACTGCGATACATGGAGCAAAGACATATGGGATCCCTGTTGCCCTTACTTCAAGGGCAGTTGCTTCACCAATCCTCTTAACAAGTGCCGGATCCCTGGTAAATAGATTAGTCGACAATGGGACCAGTCAGAAAAAAAAGAAAGGAAGGAAGAAGAGGCTGAGGTTTCCAACAACATGCTTTTCATTTTTTTCTTGGTTATATTATACCATAATTGTAACTAAAATATGGTGTAGCAGTGTGAAAATTCTTTGCGTTTAGGCTGCCGGGGAATGTCATAATTAAAAAAATATATATTAAAGGAAAATAATAGTGAGATTTATTTAATCATCTTAGACAGGATGGATTCTAGAAGTCATAAAATTTTCAGATTCTCAAAAAAGCTGGTCAGCCTTCCAATCTATCTCTGCCCTATTTTTTTGTTTGGCTTCCACTAATCAATCAACAAGAGATATCAATGAAAATTGATGAAATTATACATCAGAATGAGTTTATCAAGGAGAAAAATAATAAGTTTTACCCAGGAAATCAACATGACAGAAGCAGCAAAATGAGTTTACACTTGCCTGGTAGCTCCAAGGCCAATGTTATGAGGGAATATTGTTGCTTTATAGACATTATTATGTCCATGAATAGCATCAATCCCATAAATCATTGGAATCCCCAGCCTGGTCGAGAGAGACCCTTTTTGGAGTTCATTTACCATGTTTACCCAGTCTGAAGCACTTGCTTGAGGACCAGGCACACTCCCCCCGCCACTCAACAAACTACCTGGCTCACATAATCAATTCAGTAGATTTCCAAATATATGATGAGAAAGATTTTAGAAAAAAAGCTAATGAATGAAAATGCAGATACTTTACCTATGAAGTAGTCTTTCATGACTTGAGCAGAAGCCACCTTACGCTCAATCTGTGTCATCTGGCCAATCTTTTCAGCAAGGGTCATTCGATCCATCAAATCCTTGATTCGGACATTGATCGACTGTTTAGGGTCCTTGTACTTCATATACTCTGCTTCTCCAACCGATGTCCAACATGCTAAGAACAGAAGATGCAGCCAAAATGTTTGACGTCTTGCCATCCTCTCCAAAGCTTTGATCTTTGCTAACTCCTTCCCTCAGACCTGAGTTCATAAATATTGCATCCACTGATCCAACATTGCAAATAAAAACTACAAATTGGCAAACTACGCCACATAAAAAGAAGAGGCTTATGAATCATCAGCACGTAAATTAAGTAATTAATCAACAAGCACCAGCAATTCAACACGTTAATGAAAGAACTATAAAGGAAGCCTGATCAGAGGCTAGAAGCGAAGGCCAATGAACAAAGCATGAGAGAAGCCTTGACCACTTCAAAGGGAGAGAGCGGTTAGAGTTCGACGGTTATTCGTACAAATTCTCAGAGCAATTCCCAAATCAACACTCCAAAACAAGTAATGAGAGAGCGAAGGGGAATTGCATACTACAAGGACTTGAAGAACATATAAAAACGACATAATCACAACATAGTAATAATTGCTATATAGAAAAAGAAAAAGACGAATTAAAGTAAAAGATTAAAACACAAATGGCACATTTCCTTACAAAACAGCTTGTACATAAAAAGGGTACAAAAAAGGGGGGGAAATGACGGTTTGTTTAGAATACAAGAAAAAAAACACGAAGAAGAAACACGAAATAGCAGCTTTTTCCATCTTACTGCAAGCAAAAAGTTCAGTGAAAAAGAAAATGACATCTTTTTTCCCACAATCGAAAGAGAAAATTGAAGAAAACTAAAGTAGCAAAGCTCCACTCTTTTTCTTTTCCGTTCCCTTCCTTGTTCGGGGACCTTTAGCATCAACCGAGCAATCACAAAGCACAAAAAAGAGTCAGTGACTGAGCACCACAGAGCACAATACTGCAAAGAGACTTATCAAACAAGGAAAAGAAGCACCAACATTGTTGGGATCCAACGCTACGAAGCTTCAGAAAAACCACTGGAGATCGACATAAGCAAAGAAGAACAAGGAGACAAACCTAAGCACACTATCACAGGAGACCAAAGACCAAACCTTGACCAATCCGTACCTCGAGATGTCGGGCTCCGAGAGAGAGAGAGAGAGAGATCCACAACCAGAGAGAGTGGGATAGGGGGAGTGATGCACTAATAGAACAATGGCAAAGGTAGAACTGTAAATAACATAAATTAATCTTTATTATTATTATTATTATTATTATTATTATTATTATTATTTAAAAAAGAAACTTGGAAATTATGCTTCTTATGTGAGAAATATTTCTCACACCAAAACACTCAACCCAATCACAACCCAGTTGGGTAACCGTTCATCTAGTCAGTCCTTTGCCACATTTCGTGATGATTAAGGTACTTTTTCGGGCCTCTCTTTTAGTGTGCCAATCACGGTTCTCCCCGTATTAAACAAGATGTATACTCCCAAAATTACATAGATATCCCTCTTAACTCAGTCATTTTCACATTTACCCTCAAATTATATATATATATATATATATATATATATATATATATATATATATATGTATATCAACTAGCATGTCTTATTGTTTGTTCTAAACTAATATTTAATTAGATACATTTTTATCTTTCTGTAAGTACAGATTTAACACTAGTAATTTTCTTTTTTTCTCTACTACTATAGCAAGAAAAATAAGAATGAAAGCTATATCATGCTTAGATGTGATCATAGTAATTTTCATTTATAT